AAAAAAAAAAAAACCTAAAAATCAATCATCTTATATCCCTTTCTTTTGCAAAAGAAAATCCTTTATTTTTTTAACCTCCATTCACACCAATGTGTGATATCAAAATGTTACTTGCTTTATGTAAGCAGGAATCTGACTCCATAACCTTTKGTTAATGGTTTTGGTTGTTTCAATGAGACATACCAGGAGAGGTCAGGTTTTCCATTTGACTGGGATTGCTCTGCGAGCAGAGGTCATTCAGAAGGTGTCCATATGAAAGAAGAACATTTGGGAGTTTGGAAGGTTTCACCTTGTCCCACGGAGGTATCGCTGGGACAGGCAGCTCTGGAGGAATGTACACATGCAGCTACTTCAGGGCCATCTGCCTCAGCGGGGGCTTAGCAGGGTAACACGAGCCTCAGACAAACACAGCCCTGCAGCACCCTCTGCTCCTGCTGTGTGAGCAGGACTTTGGGGAAAACAGGATCCCCTGCCGTGCTCAGCCTGGCACCAGGTGATGGCAGCAAGGCAGGAGACTTCTGGAAGAGGAGCCCCACACAAGGGCTTGGCTCACACGAGAGCAAGAGGAAGAGTAACCCTGTGTGAAGRGAAGCCCATCCCAGGAATGAAGAGCTGTGCTGCTGCTGGCACGCTCCAAACAGCACACAGCAGCTCCCTGCTGGAGAGAGGGACCCTCACGGCAGCACTTCATCCTCCCTTCCCAGGAATCCTCCCCGAGACAGAGTGCTTGAGGTCTCACTCGTGTTCACACTGTGCTGAATGAGCTTCCTTCCTCATCCCCTCTTCCATGGATTTCAGAGATAGACCAGCCTCCTTAATTTACCAGAACCACGTCCCACAGTGCTACAATCAATACAGTCAGAAAATCCATCCCTAAGAAATCTTGAGTTATCAGGCATTTCTTCAAGATGAAATATGAGTCATTCCTGTACCCCTTTGCCACAGTGACCAAGGACTGCAGATCCAGAGRTCACTGCTAGGCCAGCTTGCAAATAAACACCATGGTCCTCATCCRTGCAGAGAGGAGAGAAAGTGCCTGGTCCCAGCCCAGGTGGTCTGTCCAAAGCAGGCCCTAGGAAATCACACACAAAACATGTTTTGAGCGTCCACAAGGGATAGCATTCCACGAGAAATAACTCACAAGTTCTTTCCTCCAGTAGCAAACTGTTCAAGASCAATTTGTTCAAAATGGGTCACTTTCACAGGTGATTTTGAGAAAGCAAGGTGCTGTCAGATAAAAAGACAGATCTGATGACATGAAGCATCTGCAAGAAATCACAGAACAGAGTGATAAGAAGTGAGGAAGGCCCTAATTTTGCCCAGCATGTGATGGATGAAACACTCCATTTGCTTCACAGGAGGAGTCAGCTGTCTGCCCACCCTGGCAGAGACAACTGCTCCACAGTAAAGCTGCAGCGGATCCGGAGAGCTGGTCCATGTGATGGGGCAGGAGGCAAAGGTGGAGAGGGAGCCTTTAGGTAGGCAATCAATATTAAATAGCATCATGTAGGTGAGACAAAAACAGCCTCTCTTTACCCCTCCTCTTCCACAGCTCAGCCCCAGGACATTTCCAACTCCATCCATCCTGCAAAGCGAAAGAGAAGCCTGTCCTCTTTYGGCTCTGCCACCACCTGCCAGCTCATCAAGCCAGATTTGCTGAGAAAATGTTCGTTCCTCATTTCCTGCCACGACATGCTGCATTTTCTATCCCACCTGCACTGTGCCATGCCACTCTCACATGCATATCCATTAATTCCCGTCCAATTTATTTTGGAAAAATCCTTGACCGGAGAGGCTGTTCAAACAGCGCTGCCCCGCTACGTCACGGGRCTGTTTGCACATTGCAGAACGGGAAAGGGTGACAGCAGCAGGGCTGAGCTGGCAGAGCCTGGCACTTGGCCTGCCTGGTGGGGGTGGGATRGGGGGTGGAACCTCCTGGCTCCAGCTGTGTTATGGATTTTCAAATCAAAGTGGCTCGTTGTCCTTTATCTCAGGTATTAAAGGRAAACCAATAATTCTGAGGGCTCACAGCAGGAATCTCACAGCAAAACCAACAGGAGCTGTAAGGAAACCACTCTGAGCTTTGGCAACTGCAGCAGCTGTAAATGATCGGCGATTTCTCCTCCGGAAAGCTGATGTGAGGTTGTAATGTTTCTACACASATTACCAAGGGGAGGGAAAATAGTGCATTTTCAAGAAGGCTGAAGATGATTGCAGTAATTTAAGAAGTCACAGATTTTCTGGATTTGGGCAAGTTATTCAATATCCTTATACTRATCTCATCAGCATAACTGCCACGAAGACACTGCAAGCCAGACACTTCTCAGAGAGCCACAAGCCTCTGTTCAAGAGTAAATTATGGGAAAAGGTGGAAATAACAACATTAGCACCCACCTTACACAAACACCTCAGTGAAAATACATCTATATTAAGAATTTAAAGTGTTACATRTATCTTTCCCCAGAATCATAGAATAATAAAATCATGGAATGGTTTGGTTTAAAAGGAACTTCAAAGATCATCCAGTTCCAACTTCCCTCCCATGGACAGGGACAGCTTCCACTAGACCAGGTCACTCAGGGCTCCATTCAGCCCTTCAGTGGCCTTCAGCACTTCCAGGAATGGGCATCCACAGCTTCTCTGGACAACCTGTGCCAGTGCAAAGARCTTCACCCTAAAATCTAATCAAAACCTCCTCTGTTTTAGTTTGGATCCTTTCCCCCTTGAGCTGTCTCCACATGTCTTTGTCAAAAGTCCCTCTCTCTTTCTTGCAGACTCTCCTCAGCCACTGGGAGGCCACGATTGTGTCACCCTGAGCTGCGCAATAGGAAAGAGGAAGTGTGACAGTGCACCACCACAGCAAGCTCACAGAAAGGATCTGTTGGCCTGCATTGCTAACACTGGAGAAAGACTCCTGGCTCTGATGGAGGGAGGGGATGTCAGGGCTGTTATTGACTTTCTGATTGCACGTTGAGCTGATTTCCAACCTCTKGGAAACTCTAAGGAACAGAAGATGTAGTCAGTGATTTGGCAGCAGGCTCAGAGACCTAGGAGCAGAGGGAGGCACTCACCTTCCTGGCCTGCTGTTCCCTACCACCAGGCAATAATGTACTCTTTATTTCAGGATGGTGTTAATGGGCAAGCCTCAACCTTTCCAGCAGAGGCACTTCTGGTGTTAGACAGTAAAACCCAGCTTGTTGTTTAAGGAACAATGACAAGCCCCAAATCCACTGATGATGCTGATGCTCTATCACTGCTCTCTCCAGAGTCTGTGTCCCTGTATCTTTTACTGCAATTTTCCCAGTTGTCTCCTTCAGATCTCTGCATTACACCAGGGGAAAATTTATGAGATGCTACATTRTATCAACTAGCCAATGGTCTTCTTCCTTTGTAACTAGCTGATTTTATGTCATTTAACAACCTCAGAGCTGCTTGGAAATTAGGAAGAAAACTCACCTCTGGAACTATAAA